TATATATATATATATATATAGGTTTATATATATATATATATATATATATATATATATATATATATATATATATTTATATATATATATATATATATATATATATATATATACAAATATAGATAACTATACTCGTTTCGAAAAAACCCTCAATTTTTGACTTTCCAATAATCAAATCAATCTCGAGAGAAAAAAAGGTTTTAAAAAGAAAGAGCTACAAACATGAAAGTCTGTCGAGAAAAATCGCACAGATGCAGGTTTGAAGCCCAATGAAAAAAAAACCCGATATGAGTAAACAACTAACTAACAAAAGAGCAAAAATATATATATATATATATATATATATATATATATATATATATATATATATATATATATTCGTTTCATTTCGTTGTTGGAAGTGCTGTCTGATGATCCGGCGTCCTTTTAAAAGGACTCTGGTGAAATAAATTATTATAATGGTACCTTAAAAAGTGTTCTTTTTTAAATATTAGCTCTGGAATTACATTGACCTCTCAGTATTTCATCGTCCTTGGGATTACCCATACGGATTACCAAGTTCTTCATAACTTCAATAATTATACACACACACACACACACACACACACATATATATATATATATATATATATATATATATATATATATATATATATATATATGTTTAATGAAGCATATGTTGGCACCGAAGTCTATTGTAGTTTTGTTCATTTTTTGTTTGCTTCCTTTTTATGTTCAACAACTCTTGCAATTCTCGTCACATTTGGCAGTTTATGCGGTATAGCACCTTTGCGTTGTTGTTAAGTGTTTGTCTGATTTCCTGTTGTGGTTTTCCTTTCTGTTTGTTGAGGGCATGTGTTTTAATGGACTCCATTGTTGGAGTAAGTGACATGTTAAACGGCGTGACAATGTCGTATTAGTGATCGGTCTGTTGATTTGAAAATTTATATGATAAAAGCCAACGCGCCAAACGTGGTCTAAAGCACTAATCTGACAACATAAACAAACAACTAAATGTCTTTCAAATGGGTTAGGGTTCGACGAAAGTGCTTAAAAATGAGAACATATATTTACAAATATGAACCAGAAATAAGAAAAAAAAATATTAGAAATATTGAAAAAAATTAAGCAAGCAAACAAGAAATTTTCGTTGGCTTTTAATCAAACATGCATAAATGAAACATTGTATCCTTAATACATCCATTTTTATATGTGTATGACTTTAAACCATTGTCATCATAATAATTGTTTTGTCCCGCCGTTTGTTAGTTCGCACGACCGTTACATCTTGCCAATACCTTATAAATAATGGATTATTCCGTTTTGAGCGCGGTAAATACAAATGAAATATCAGAGAAGCTACCTGGTTTAAGTGAAAGAAAGAAAGGAAGATGTATTTTACATTTCCTGCTAATACCTCATAACTACTGAACTATTTCGTCTTGATCACGTGAGAAGGCAAAACACGCTATTTGGTTTCAATAAGAAAATGAAAGAAAGAGGGAAGATGGAAGTGTCTTTTTCAGTGAAATGGAAAAAAAGTTGTCAATTTCAAATCTTTTCACTTCTTAAAATAACAACCAACATTAATATTATTGTTATTGCAATAATTAGTTAAAGTTTTTAAGCTCAAATACTTAACGATGTGACAGGGGGATTTCTACGGATATGTTTTTGTCACAGAACTCGCGATGTGCTTCTTCAATAAATAAGTGAAGAATTACGACTATTATGTACAGTATTTACATTAGTCGGACTATTGTCCTCATCTTTGTCGCCATATTTGTCACAACGTTTCGGCCGTTGTACGCTCCGGCCTTCTTCAGGTGGTTGGAACAGAACAGTCTACCCCTACTATCTAAATAAAGAGTTCAGTTCGAAATTCCAACCACCTGAAGAAGGCCGAGCGTACAACGGCCGAAACGCTTTGAAAAATATAGACAAAGATGAGGACAATAGTCCGACTAATGTAAATACTGTACGACTCAGAAGTTTCAAATAGGAAAACCGTGAAATTTTCACAGGTTAAATCTAGTAGAGTTTAAAGTGTGAGTGAGTTTATTAAGAGCTACACAGTAGAGGAAGTTGTGAAGAGTCATAATCGCCTATATCCTGATGGGACATGGCACATAAAAAAGAAGAAATCAGCATGTTTGAAATCTAATTTCTCAATAATGAAAATTCGGATGACGAGAGTCAGTAAGTATGATAATTATTCAACATATTGGTTAATAAAACTTACTTTTTATATGTGAAAGATTGATGGGTTGAATGGGGAGCTGACATTAGGACCCTCATCAGGACCCTGATCAGGACCCTCATCTGTGCTAGAACAAGAAATTATGGTTTCGAAAATTTTATGGCTGTCTTTATTTTCTTTTGTGACTGCAATTATACGCTACCGTTATATATATATATATATATATATATATATATATATATATATATATATAGGATGACCCAAAAAAACGGGAACTTTTAACAATCCAATAAAACCAAGAGTGATGGAAGAAAATATTTTATTCATAGTAATTGAAACCTTAAAACATGCCATTTAAGAAACCATGATGGAATTTTCATTTTTTAAAAATTACGTCCTGTAGATGGCGTCCTTCTGTACGAATGCATTCTTGAAATCTGACGTTGAGATTCTTCATTGACTGCTGGAACATCTCAGCTGGGATACTGTGAATTTCATCTTGAATTCTAAATGGTGAAATGTTTACTTGCTCAAGGTCAGTGTCTCACAGTGTTGCCACTTGTTCATGTCTGGCAATACGTACTTTAAAAATTCCCATTTTTTGGGGTCACCCTACATATATATATATATATATGTGTGTGTGTGTGTGTGTGTGTGATCCTGTATGCATGTATACAGATGGGCGCATTTCCGTGTGGTTAAAACGTTCGCTTTCTGACCCTGAGACCCGGGTTCGAATCTCAACGTGAAGGTGACTTCTTGATGTTATCGGTGGGCATAACACCTGCATCACCTTCGGAAAGTGCCTGAAAACTCATACCATGGGTTGGCCCCAGCCTTGTGCCTGACATTGGGCAGACAGAACACTTGTGAGCCGTCGGTTGTTGTGCTAACACAAGGGTTTGAGCGTGCTAGCCTTGTTCAGACTGTTGATCACGCTAGACAACGCGCTCTCTTCCAGAATCTGTAACTGACGCCCGCTCAGTATAGTTGCAGTATAAACCACAATGTTCCTGAGCTGGCATCTGCAATGGGGATTAGCTAGCCGCCCTAGTAAACTGGCATCCTTGGATTCGAGTGGCTACGCCATTTACATTTACATATATACAAAAAGGATTAAACCTAACATGAATAGATATTTACTCAACCCCCCAAGAGGTTAAGTTGTGACACAAGGTCAGTTTAATGTGGGGAGCCCGAGCGCATGCAGCCGGGCAAGGAACAAAAATTCTCCGAGCCCCCGCAACCGTCGTTTGCGCTGGCCTCGGTGCGTGCAGCGATCCAACTCTCTAGTGCAATGAGAAGGCGCGGCCTCGGGCAGCTGTTCCCCAGGGCCGGCACTTCTCAGTATAATTTTCCTCAGTTGCGACTCTGTCCTTTGACGGAGTCAACCCTGAGCGCACTCTGCCAAAAGACAGAGACGCAACTGAGAGAAACCTAACATGAGTAATATGTTTTAATCATAACGCCCGATGACAGTGAAACAATTATGACACAAGGGGATGCTGAGTGTGAAAGAATAAGAAAAAATAGAAACATTAATAAGGAACGAGAACAATAGAAGAGAAATCAATACGACAGTACATAACGATTGACATTGCGTTTAAATTGTTTTAGATCAAATTTGGCTGGAAAGCATGAACCCAGAAGAGAGTTTCACATGCGAGAAGTGCGAGAAAAGAAACTGTTAGCATAGAAATTATAGGTACATTTAACTAATCTAAATGTGAATTGATGAGACCTTGCCGCCAATCTAATACTGTTCTTATTCATAAAGTCTAGCTAATATAGCGAAGAGATGGAAGCTTGATAGTTTCTTTCAGCGATAATCGTTAGTACCTTAGTAGTTGATCTAAAGAAGCGAAATCCATATTGCTTGTCTGAAAGAAGAACGTGCAATGTAAGATGCTTAACTAATTCAGAGTTCATTAGTAGTTCTGGTAGTTTACGAAAAAGAGGCTAATAGGTCGAACGTTCGAACGGTCAGACTGTTTACCTGAGTTCTTAGTAAATTGATATTATTACGCTGACAAATATGTACATCTATCATTGCTGTTGTCAAAAGAACTTTAAAATTCAAGTGGACCACTCTTGCGCAATCAACACATTTCTTTTAGGTGTGATTAGCAGGTAAAAATCTCCGTAAAGAATTGATGCATCTTGTAGTCGATCACAGTAAGAAATTGGATGATATTGAAGAATAATGAAATAACAAGATCTTTGTTCGAAAACTGAAAAACCTGGCGCATATAAATTTGAGATTAATACTCGTAATCATTGTACAGTTTCGAGACACTTGTCAGTAGAAGGAAACTAAGGCTTACCAACCATTTGTAGGTTATTTAAAGCCAGAAAATATTTTTAGATTGTAAGAAATTTTTAGATAATGATAATAGCTGCACGTTCGTATTCGAGTACACCAGGCGGCTAGCCAATCCCTATTGCAGGCGCCTACTCATGCACAGTTGTGTTCGTTCAACACCCACAGAACACGCATGTGCTTTCTACTGCAACTATTCTAAATGGAGAAAATGGATTTTCTGTTGTGATCAGTCTGAACAAGGCCTGTTTACTCAACCACTCAGACACGAAGACTTGCGACATCGTGCTAGCTATTTTAGATAATAATTATTTAGTGGTACAAGTTTTACTAATTAACCCATAGCAGGGGGAGAAGAGGTGGATTCATACATTGATATTAGTTATTTTCTCGTAGGTGAATATAACGAACCCAAGTGGAATTGGAACTCGGTTCGCCAATAATTCTGAACCGTTATCCATTAAACGACCCACACATTCATGTTTACAGCAGCTGATATTCCCAAGCGTTCATCCATCGATGTAGTGACCAGGCTTGACGTTGCTTAACTTCGGTGACAATATGGGAAACGGTGTTTCAATGTGATATGGCCGTTAGCCCTCAAAGTTTTAAAAAAATAAAAATAAGAAACGACGATATATGCGCCGTAGCAGTGTTAAAGCCGATGAGAATACTAAACAGGGTCCTGAAGAGTTTAATGGGTCACAAAAATAACCCTGTTATGAGTACTCGAATAAAATATTATTATTACAGGTTAAGTATCATTTATCCGAAATTCCAAAATCCGAAAACCTCAAAATTCAGAAAGTTTTTCAGGTGCTGACATGAATGGTCAAAAATGAAAAATTTCAGAAAATCCAGCTACGTACCCAACGTCGGCGTCATTTTTTTTTGTTAGCGATCGTCACAGCAACCCCTTCGTTCGTTGATTACTTACGAGTTGTGGCATACTCAGTGAAGATATTATTCAAAATGTCAGAAATTCCTGTATTTCTGTAAGTAGTAATCATATTTTATATGCACGTACAGAAAGTACAAAACATTATTTTTACGTGAAAGCTGAATTTCACTTAAAAATCCGTGTGAAAATTACATGGCTAACTTCATTACGTGTACCTATATGTACACAAAAATTATTAAATTTTATATAAAACTACTTTCAGGGTATATGTGTTATGTAATGTAAAGAGATATCATATCTATGCTTGGATTCCATTTCCAAGCTTCCACATTTTATAGATTCTATATAGAAATTAAATAGCCTGTATTCCATTATCCGAAAAAAAAATATCTGAAAACCGAAGCACTTCCGGTCTCAAGAATTTCGGATAAAGGATTCTGAAACTGTAATAATACCAACTCAAAACAAGATAATAAAAAATTATTTTTGTTTCATTAAGATTCAATCTGAGTATCTAATATTCAGTTTAGTCCTTGCATAGAAAAGATCAAAACATTGTCTTGAAGTTGTAAGGTATTGAACTCATAACTCTGGGTTAAGTCACTGAGCCATATGTCATTGAGGACATCAGAGTATGAGTTATCCACTAAGAACTCATATTGCAATGTTTTTTTTTTTTTTGTTATTATTGCTTTTCTCTAGCACTCCGCATTAGTGGTTCCCATATTGTATTCATTTCTGTTTTTGGCTTAGGAAATTTTTGTGGCCTAGCATATCCTTAAGTTTTCGTATTTTCCAGTGATGCTCTCTGTCTATTATTTCAACCTCATCCCACAGTGGGCGGTGATCTCCATTTTGCCTCCATAAGTGATCAGCTACGCCTGTTTCCGCTTGTGTTAATCCTTTACGATGTTCTTGCAGTCTTACCATAAGGGGCGACCTGTTTCTCCTTTATATTCCTTACCACAGTTATTAGTCATGTTCTCCTCTATGGGAGGGGGGTCTTACTCAAACGATGGGTCTACAAACTGTTGAACCACTTTTGAATATTGTTCTGATGTTATATGAACCACAGATATTTTGTATTTTTTTCAAATAATCCCTTCCTATAGTGTAGGCAAACCGAAGCTGCGTGTTGTTATCCTCTTGTACGCTTCTATCCTAGTTTGTTGGCGTTGTTGCCATGCACCATGGTAATTGTTATTTTATAGGTTATTGCTTATAATGACCATTTCTTGTTCATATGTCTCTGGGTCGTCACTTATGACTTTTGCTGTATGTTTAAGGAGAGGACGATACATTTCTTTACACTGTATGAGTAGTGGGAGTTGAAGATGAGGTATTCTACGGTGAATGTTTGCTTGAATCCATGCTCTGTTCGAGATATTAGTACATACAGGAAGGCGAATTTGTCGTTTTCTCTCTTTATTTTGAAATGTATCGATTATCTTATTGAGTTCACAAGCTCCAGTAATAACCGGACCTCTTCCCGGTGTGGGCAGAGTGTGAAGGTGTTAACTACGTATCGTAGGCATAGGGTTGGCTTTAGTGACGTGGATTCTAATGGAATTTCTTCAAAGTTTTCCAGGTATATGTTCGCCAACGTCGTGAATCGAACAATGTAAATAATGTAAATAATACAACTACCTCATCTCAGAAATATATATATATATATATATATATATATATATATATATATATATATATATAAAGAACAGTAAGATATATAATCCGGTGTTCTTATAGATATTTTTATTTTTACAAAATAGTGCTCAATGTAAATTTACAGAGCATTAATATTATAAATTAATTGATTTGAAATATGTTTTTTTTCACTACACAGTTCTAACCATGTTTTAGAAATGGAAGCTAAAAGCTTCGAATAAAAGCTTAGAACTGTGTGGCGAAAACAACATATATTTTAAATCAGTTATAATTTTATATATATATATATATATATATATATATATATATATATAGTCATCCATAGACAGACTCTTTTCTTTCACTGCATATCAGTGAGGCTATACATCCGGCTGCCTCTAGCTAGGATCGAAACTCGACTGAATTGGCGTCATTCGATTCTACCCTAAGCCATGACACACGGCTGGCATGAAGGTGAATTTAAGCGTATATAAGTGTGTGTAAGTATATATATATATATATATATATATATATATATATATATATATATATATATATATATATATATATATATATATATATATATATATATATATATATATATATATATATATATATATATATATATATATATATATATATATATATATACAGACACGCACAAACACACACACACACACATATATATATGTGTGAATACATATTGGTACCCTGTTTTCATTAAGACATGCCTCATTAAATAATTTAGAGAAGTTTTGTATACTTAATTTAATAGGGTCCTTTCGTAATTTCGGACAAGATTCTTAGTATCTTTATTAAAAGAAAATTACCATGTTGATGCATATTCATATTATTCCCATTACTTTCGATATTAGCACAATGAAGTCATCAGGGTCTTGTTTGTTTTTTAAACAAAAAATTTTTGTGTTCAACAATTTTTTTCATAAACAAATGCTCAACAATTTTGTCTAAAAAAATGATGAACACAATTTTTTGACTCTGAAAAACAATGCTCTTAATATATATATATATATATATATATATATATGTATGTATGCATGTATGTATGTATGTATGTATTAAATAGACAGAACATATTTCCCTTATATAGGTAACCTTTATTTTTTTCCTCACTATTTTTCAGAGTGTGCGTATAAATACAATAATTTTTGGTTTTCTTTTTTGGACAAAGTATGGTCGGCTAAGCATCTAAATACCTTAGAAGCAGTATATATTAAATTGCACTGACCATCTTTGTGCCGACAGAAAGAGATATTTATTCGTTCTCTTTCTTTACTCGGTGGCTTGTAAGTCTATATTTTCCTTTTTAAACTCACTGGAACTGTTTATTCTGTTTTTATGCCGTTTCCCTCGATTCACCCCCACCCTATTTAATTGTATTTTAATCGTAGTTCCTCGTTTAATTACAGTTTGTCTATTATCCCAAAATTCTTGTTAACATTTTACTCGCCGCCAACGATTTTCTGATGAAGTGTAGGCCGGAAAAAAGCTACCATTTAAAGGAAAATATATGTGGTTCTGTCTGTTTAAAACTATCTTTAAGTTCTCTGGTATCACACACACACACACACACACACACACACACACACACACACACACACATATATATATATATATATATATATATATATATATATATATATATAGTGTTTCGCCATTTAGAACATCATCGGACTAAAGTGATATTTACATGGATGCGATTACGCATGCGCATGAAATAGAGGCAGCACTGAAATTTAATATTTTCTAAACGTGTCACACGAGAAAAAAAATTAAACTTCAGTATAGATTTTCCTAAAATTATTTTTGATATATGAAAATTTATCTATCATTTTCCCACATACACACACACATACACATACATACATACATACATATATATATATATATATATATATATATATATATATATATATATATATATATATATATATATATATATATATTAGTAAAAAAGAACGAACAGTAAGATATATAATCCGGTGTTCTTATTGATATTTTTATTTTTACAAAACAGTGCTCAATGTAAATTTACACAGCATAAATATTATAAATTAACTGATTTAAAAATATGGTTTCTTCGATCCACAGGAATTACCATATTTCAAAAACAGAAACTAATAAATTCAATTATTTAATTAAATTAAAAGCACTAGTTCTGTTTCATTTTCAAGCGAATTTTGGAATAACTTATTTTGAAATTTTCTGGGTTTTAAATGCACATACAATTTGTTTCCAAGGATACAGAAACAGGGGTCGTAGCATGTTCATTTCTATTAACAACTATTGCATCAAATTTGAGTTACTTTCGAAAAGAGTTTGTCTAGGTAGAGTAGGGGTGCATTTTTTCCAACGAATTATGATATCCGTTCAACGCATGTCGTCTGTTTTTTTAAAAGGACATAAAATTTTTCGGCCTTTTTATCCGTTAAATTTATACTTGTATACATGAAGATTCTTTCTAAAATGGTGTTTGGATTAGAATACGTTGTATTGAACTACAAGTTTACAATATTTTTGCTTTCAATTACTAATAGACTATATTTCATTTTAAAACAAATAAATGTAATAGAATTACTTAAATTATTTAAAAATTATTATTAAATATCCGATATAAGTATGCATATTACTATTATTATTAAATATCAAATATAAGTATGTATATTACAGCTCTCTCTTTTTTTTAGTAAATATTATTTAAGGAAAATTTTTGACAATATTGGCAAAGTATAGCTATTTCATTTCTTTGATTCAGTAAATTTTTATTTTTTATAAACCTAGTAATATATAGCTTCTCATGTATGCACAAAGGACATGGGTCATTTAATGACCTACATATTCCAGATTTTCTAATTAATTTCCATTTTACTGTAGTGACAGCAGAAGTGTTGAAAAAAAATAGCTATTTTAGGATCACTAGACTCAACAGAGTCTTCTGACATTATGGGTATTTTTATATTATACAATCTCACAGCATACCATGAAATTAATATAACTGACATTTTTGTTTTTGAAACATGGTAATTCCT